AAAAATCATGGCAGCAATATCTTGGGTTCTGAGTGACACATGTACTTTGTTTTGACAGCTATCAGACATTGTTAATTTTCCATGCACATAATCTATTCAAACCAGTTTTCCTTTAGTAGAAAATGTACAGCATCATCAAATCCATTTTGGTACAGTGATTCCATCTTTTTCTGGCTTGGTGGGAATAAAGCTTGATTAAGTCTTACCAGGTTGGCCACAGACAACTGCAACAGAGAAGTATTCTAAGTTAGGCAACTGTAAGGACAAACTATTGTATTTAATTTTTTTGTTCTCTTCATCTTTCCTACCCCCTTTTAGGATAGATAAATGATGTTTCCAAAATCTAAAGACTATTGAAGACCTCGGTTGATCATTCTGATGGTGTAATGATTGTCTGGTTATAGGCTTGCTCTCCCTCCTTATATTTTAGATTCTTTCACTAAGATCATTTTATTTGTAGCTAATTTAATCCAATAATAAATAAAATTACAATGAGTAAGATATTAGACATTTATTAGTTTAAATGATTAACTCATTTAATATATATTTTATTTCTTACACACTTCACAAATGGTGCAATATAATTATAGAATAATAATTACCTTTTATTTGAAATAAAAAATTAATCAAATTTTGCAACCATGGAATCACTAAGCCTCTGGAGCCTTGTTTGAGTTGACTAGGGCAGTTCAAAACTCTCAAAACTATTGTTTCAGGTTGACTGCAGATTCAGACACACATCACTGCATCTGTTTACTTGGTTAACATTTTCAAGGTTGTCTCTAACTCTGAGGGCTAGAAACTGTTTTAAGTGACACCGGAGATTCTGGAACACAACTGTGGTGCAGGAAGTGACTTCTGTGGCAAATTCCAGAGATGCAGAATCACAGAAAACAGAGGGCCTCCAAATAAACTCTTTAGCATGTACGGATGAGGCACCAAACTTTGTTTATTCAACCAAGACTCAACTAGATGACTCAGTTGGTCAATATCAACTTATTTTCTATATGGATTCATGGTGCAAATAGTAGCCAAGTAACGTGTGAAAGATAGCATATACATGTTAATTTCACCTACAAAGTCATCTTTCCAAACCATTCCTACTGCTGAAATCCTTGTCCATATTCTAATCATCTTACCTTGAATAATGCAACCTTTTCCTATCTGCCCTCAGTACTCCCTACCTCCATTAGTTCAAAATGCCATTGCCAAAGTAATCTCTCTCTCATCATTTCATCCACGTCCCTGAATCTTTCCATTGGTTTATTGTATCTCAGGATGATTTCACTCTTGTATAGAAGACTAGCACATCACTAAACTTCCAGTTAAGACCTATTTTAAGTGCTTAATTAGGACTTTGGTGGTACAAAGGCCTTGTGCTGGTCATCTGCATAGGAAAGAATTTGTCATACTGCATATGATTCAAGTTCCTCATTCTCATCACAAGTAAAAAAGGCAGAAAACACTGCAAGTGAACTGTTGGCTGAATGCCTGGCTTGGATTTGTAGAACACTGAACCACATAGCTCTGGGAGAGAGGACTATACGAACAAGACAGCCTGCATCTCACAAGCAGGGAGCTAATCTTCCCAGTTGGAAACTAACTGGGCCAGCTAGGAGGGCAAAATAGGAGGAGGAGGCAAAAGTGGTAGAAACTCAAATCCAGTGCATCATAAATAAACTGAACTGATGTGACATAGAATATGAAGACACAACATTTTTCAACTGTTCTATGGTAGGAGTCTGGACAACAAGCAAGAGAAATTGGAAGTTTACATTGGTGAGAATAAATTTGATATAATTGGCACTACTGAAACAGAGTGGGATGATTTGCATGACTGGAATGTTAAAATCACTGGTTATAACTGGTTTAGGAAGGACAAAATGGGTGAAAGAATTGGGGTGTGATATTAAAGATACCATTACTTGTTTTAGAGTTATTGGTAACTCAGAAGAGAATAGGATCTTGAATGCATATGGATCAATGGGCTAACAAATAAAGCCCAGGAGAGTTTATTCGTGGGGATCTGTTATAGACCACTGAATCAAACCAGAGAGCAGGATCAGTTACTTCCTTAAGCACCTGTCTTTAATATGAGGAAGGAAAAATTGTGCTGTGATGGGGGACTTTAATATCAGCAATGTATACTGGAAGTATCAACCAACCAACAGAAAAAAATTATCAGAGTGTCTAAAAATTATAATTTCCTAACACAAAAAGTATTGCACCCAAAAGGAGTTAACTCTATTTTGGACCTCATTATGATGGAAAAACAATCATTGGACTATTAGTTGGTATTTGCCTAGGGATCAACTATCATGACATGATTACATTCAATAAAGGGCAAACAGAGGACAATCCCAGGCATATTTGGTGCTTCAAAAGGGTTAATTTCCCAAGATGAGGAATATTATGTGCAAAATGGATTGGGAGAAAAAATTTAGACAGAAAAATCTGAATGAAAGTTGTGAGTTCTCAAAGAAGATCTTATTAGATGTCGAAAAAGCCATAATTTCATAATCAAGAAAGAATACAAATTTGGCTGAAAGCCAAACCTGGCTCATTAGCAAAGTGAAGGAAACAATTAGAAATAAAAAACCCAAATATATGACAAAGGGAAATAAACAGTAATAGATAATTGATAAGGGAAGCTAAAGACCTCAAGGAAAAAAACAATGGTTGGAAAGGCTAAGGACAATAAGGAGTGTAAGTACATGTGCCCTTACCAGCATCCCAGTGCAAGAAAGCAAGGGGGTCACTGGTATCTGGTAGTGAGTTTCAGGTGGCCTGGTCCACTCAAGGTGCCCCAATTCGTTAATGCTAAATTAATGATAGGAGTGTCATGTCATTGGAAAACTAATAACACACTGAACATTAATATTCTTAAGTGGTGTATGTATGGTAAATGTCCAAAGGATCATACAAATAGGAAGAAAATGTACAAAGGGTGTTTACCAGACAAGTAAAGAGGTTTTTCCCAGACAAAGGGCAGCCTGATGTCTCCAGAGGCCATCGGAGTCAATAAGCAATCACATGTCATTTGCATTTTAGCAAACACCAGTGGAGGAAGAAACCATGGAAAGTTCTTCATTAACAGACTCCATGTCTCCTTCCTCACAGCTTGAATGAGCTTTACTTTGGGCAGGGCGGGGAAGGGGTAACCTTCAGAAGAGTCCATTTCTAAAGTTAACTAGACTATAAAAGAGAGAAGCAAAGACCCCTACGATGACAAAGGAACCAAGCACTATAAACTTTGTGGGGCATTTTGACCAGAGGGGTGGTCCGCTATCTTCGCTATCTTGCTGGAAGGTTGTTTGATAAGGAAACTACCTTGAACAAAGGCTGTAGCTTGTTGTGTACTGTAGGTTACCCACTAGAAAGCATTTTTCACTTTTATTTGGTTGGAACCATTTCTAACACTATCTTTTGTACTTGAACTCACTTAAAATTCTATATCCTTTTGTTAATAAACTTGTTTTACTTTCAATCCATACTAACCCAGTGCTGTGTTTGAAACAAAATGATTGCTAGCTCCTGTTAAAGTGATAACGCTGTGCATTTTGTCTCTTTAGAGCAGAGGTGGGCAAATGATGGCCCACGGGACTGTCCTGCCCGGCCCTTGAGCTCCCGGCCGGGGAGGCTAGCCACCAGCCCCTCCCCTGCAGCCATGCACCGTGCTGGCAGGGCCTTGGGCAATGGGGCTGCGCGCTCCTGCAGGGCAGCGTGTCTGGCTCCGGCCGGGCGGTGCAGTGGCCAGACATGCTGCTCTGAGCGGCATGGTAAGGGGGTTGGGGCCAGGGGGTTGGATGGGGCAGAGGTTTTTTTTGGGGGGGGGCTGGTCAGGGGATGGGGAGGTTGGATAGGCGTGGGAGTGCCAGGGGGCCTGTTGGGGGCGGAGGTGTGGATAGGGGTCAGGACAGTCAGGGGACAGGGAGTGGAGGGGTTGGATATGGGGTGGAGTCCCAGGAGGGGGCGGTTAGGGGACAAGGAACAGGGCAGTTGGATGGGTCGGGAGTTCTGAGGGAGGCAGTCAGGGGGCAGGAAGTGGGAGGGGTCGGACGGGGTGGGGGGCCAGGCTGTTTGGGGAGGCACAGCCTTCCCTACCAGACCCTCCATACAGTTTTGCAACCCCAGTGTGACCCTCGGGTCAAAATGTTTGCCCACCCCTGCTTTAGAGGAACAAACAAACCTTATTATTCCATTGAATGGTCCAAGGAAGAACTAGACATTGCAGAGAACATGCTTTTGGGAAAAACTGAGACTGGGGAGGAGTACTTGGGTCATCTTGCAAGATATAACCAGAGCTGGTGTATACTGAACTGTGGCTAGGGTTTACCAAGCTAGAGTTGCTGGTTCAGAACTACTTATTACAGACACAGCGCATGACTTGTCTGCAGGCTGTAGGTATCCAGGCTGAGCCACAGCAGCAGAGCATTTAAGGCACAAACGTTACGGGTAATCGATGACAAATCCCTTACTGGTTTGGCTTGCAGTATATTAGGAACAAAAGCAATCCCTCAAATGGTATACTATCCCATATTCCCTTGTTAACAGATGGAGATGGTAAAATTGTTAATAATGTTGCAGAAAAGTTCCATAACTATTTCTTCCCTATATTTGGAAAGAAAGGGGATGAAGTATTCATTGATGATGTATTTTCCAGTCCATTAGTACCAAAAGAAGTTAGTCAAACATCATCTACTAGGAATAAATATTTTTTAATCAGCAGACCCAGATAACTTGCACACATGAGTCCTGAAGAGTTGACTCAGGAGATTTCTGGCCCGCTGATGTCAATTTTTAATAAGTCTTGGAATAGTGGGAAAATTCCACAAAATTGAAAGAGTGCTAATGTTGTGCCAATACTCAAAAAGAGCAAGTGGACAGGTAACTATAGCTAGTTAACCTGACATAAATCCCAAAATAATGGAAAATCGGATATGATATTCAATTGATAAAGCATTAAAGGACAGGAATATAAATAATGCCAGTCTACATGGTTTTATAGAAAGTATGTCTTATTAAACAAAGCTGACTTCATTCTTCGAGGAGCTTACAAGTTTGGTTGATAAAGTTAACTGCATAGACCTAATACATTTCGACTTGTAATGTGTTTGACTTAATACCGCCCCACATTCTGATTAAAAATTAGCACCACAAACTATCAATAAAGCACACATTAAATACATTAAGAACTGGCTAACTGACATATATCTCATAAAATAGTTGCCAATGGGGAATTCATGTTGAATGGGATGTTTCTAGTGAAGTTCTGCAGGGATAAGCACTAGTCCAGACGCTATTCAACTTTTCATCAATGAGCTGGAGGTAAATATAAAATCACTGCTGATAAAATTTGCATATAACACTAAAACTGCCCGGGTGGTAAATAATGAGGAAAATGGCAATTATATAGAACAATCTGGATCTCTTGGTAAGTGGGTCCATTCAAACCAAATGTGTTTTAATACAGCCAAATGCAAGGAACCTAGGAACAAAGAACCAGGAACAAGGCTATACCTACAGAATTGGGGACTGTGTCCTGGAAATCAGTGAGTATGAAAAGAATATAGGTGTCAGAGAGAACAAACAACTCAACATGAGCTCCCAGTGGCATGCTGTGGCAAAAAGGGTTTATGTGATCCTTGGATGTATAAACAGGTTTTACCTCTGTATACAGCACTGATGCAAGAGATAGTGGAATACGGCATACAATTCTTGTGTCCACATTTTGAAAAGGATGTGTGCACAGAAGAGCCACAAAATTTATGACGGCTTGAGAAAATGCTTTACAGTGAGAGACTAAACAAGCTTAAGCTGGTTAATTCATCAAAAATAAGATTGAGAGGTGACATCATTACAGCGCATAAACGTAGAGAGAAAATACTGGGTACTAAAGGGCCCTGCAGTCTAGTGGAGTAAGGCACAACAAGAACCAGTGGTTGGAAGCTGAAGTCAGACAAATTCAAATTAGAAATTAGGCATACGTTGTTAACAGTGAGGGTGATTAACCACTGGAACTAAATACCAAGGGAAGTGGTGGATTTTCTATCTCTGGAGGTCTTCAGATAAAGCCTGGATGCCTTTCTGGAAGATATGCTTTAGTCAAAGACAATTTATGCTTTAGTCATACCAAATTACTGGGTTCTATACAAGGGTAACTGGGTGACATGTAATGACCTGTGATACACAGGAGGTCAGACCAAATGATGAGCCAGTGATTACTTCTGGCCTTAAACTCTATGAATCTATGAAGAAGGCCCTTACGCCTTGTGTACACAAGGAAATCGATTAATCAGAGTATAAGGTTGCCACCTGTTCAGGTTTTCCCATGATCATCCTTTTTTGAGGTGGCTGTCCTGGAAAATCTGTAAGTGTGCTCAGTACACATTGCCAGTTGTCCAGTTTTGTGGGCTCAGGATCATCCTGGACGTCTTGGATTTTTGTACCTCAGAGGTGACAACCCTATTGGCATAGCTACTGCAGAAAAGCTCCTTGTGTGGACACTATTCTGGAATAATTACTCTACTTTAGAAGTTGTAGGTCATGCTGTCTAATCTTTCCCCAGGCCTTTACTGGAGGAATTGTATTAGGATAGAATAACTTCTTTATCTTCTTCTATGTCTCCTTTTTTTCCTTAACATTGCTCTATTGTATGGAGTTTGTAGCCCTTTTTAACAAACTGTGCATGTGCCAATTGAGCACATTTTATAAACTGAAAATCCAACACTTCATTTTTTTTAAAAACACCTAAAAAAGATTAGGTTCTCAATCCCCATAAGAAGTCAATGGGAGTTGGGTACCAAACTATCCTAGCTGCTCTTGAAAATCACATAAAACAGCTAGCAAAAATAAAAATAATAAGGCTATCACCAAAATTAGTTAAAAACAAGTCACTCACCATTAAGTCTTGCTTTGCAACTTTAATATAGAGATCTACATGTCCTTTGTCTTGTGGACAGATATCTAATCGACCACTGAAAGGAGAAACAGTGACTGTTCGTCCCACAGGCAGAATAGGGAGGCCATTGGTAAGGCCACCATCAATCCATTTCTATCGGGAAAAAAAGTCAGAGTTTGTTATGTGCTGACTAGAGCTGGGTCAAATTTTTCATAGTGAATATTTTATTTGTTGAAAATGCAGTTTTGGTCAACCTGAAACTATTCATGAATTTGACATGAATTCACTGAATAGTTTTCTCCCTAAATATATTTTTCTGGATAGAAGAGGAGGCGGCCTTTCCCTTATAATTGCCAGCCCACTAGTTTGATCATTCACCTAGGATATGGAAGACCCAAGATTAAATTTCCCCTTGACCTGATGTAGAGAAGAGATTTGAACTTGTTCTCCCTCATTATGGGAATGTTCCCTAACAAATGGACTGTGGGATACACTGAGACAGATATCTCATAATCTTTCCCACTACGTATAAATAATGAAGTAGGCACTGGAGTGGGGACTTGAATTTGGGCATCCCGCATCGTAGATGAGTGTCCTAACCACCAAGCTACAGAAATATTCTTACTTACTCTCTCTGGCCCAACGACTATTCTCTGTTCCAATGAATAGTGACTGGGCCAAAAGGAGAGAGAGAGAGAGAATATCTCTGTAGTCTGGTAGCTAGGGAATTCATCTACAATGTGGGAGACTCAAAACAGATTATTTTTTATTTGCCAATTTTTTTTTTGGCAAGTTTTGAATTCAGTTCGACCTGAATCAATTTTTTCAATTTTTCAAAACTGTTAACAAACAGAAAAATCAAGTATTTGCCCAGCTCTAGTGCTGAACCTTCTTCATTGGCCCCCTTAGATCACATAAACAAAAAAAAATGTTAAACATGTTGAATATATACTGTCCTTCTTAGAACACTATAAAAGCAGCAGTATGTTTTCCTTACTACCAAATAAACCAAAATTCTAAAGCCTGGACAACACAAAGAATCCATTGTTCAGTGGGTGACATTATACACACGTATAACTTTATTAGTGAATGTTTCATATATACTTGGTAGTCTGGACTTGTCTTAAATCTTGACTTAGTGCTAATTTTGGTTTGCTTGTTTTTTAGTTAACAGATTAATATGAACATACTCATATCAGTAAAATAAAAACCTCAAAAGCATGATACAACAGAATTCCTCAGAGATTATATAGAATTTAGAATACTAATAATTTACACTTTTGCACGTTGATATAATGTACGTGTGTGTGTATATATACATCTATAAACAACAGAAATGTTTTATTTATATGTGCATGCATATATCTATATAATAACTAAGATCTAAAAGGGTATTATAGATCAATTACTCTAAACAAAACAAAAAAAAATCACCACACTTACCCAAATGTGTAGCACAGTGAAAATATGGATGCAAATGAACTTTTTGCAGAAAGTTAAAAGATATAACTGGAATTCCAATTTCCATTGTTCAAGATGGAATTTCTATCTAATCATACATATGAGTGCTTTTATATAACAATTCTTTTATTTAAACTATTTATTATTTTTAAAAGACCAGTTTGTTCAACTAGTTAACAATACAAGTAATAACTACAACAGAAGGTACTGCTGGTTTTATTTATGAGGGCTATGAGCAGCATAGTGCACAAAAACTACGTAAGTGGTCAGTCAAACTATAGTTACAGATAAGAAGCCAACATAAGAGAACTTGTCTATCCCATCCATGAGACTTCTCATTACTTCCAGAGGAGCAGTTCATTGGTATCTATCATAGAAAGGATGTAGATAAAACACCACTAAAGTGTGTAATGAAGTTATTACTGTCATAGTGTTCGAATAAACACATTACAACTCACAATCAAATACTTCTGGGGAAATTCTGTGCCATTGTGCAATGCAGAATGTTGCAGAAATTAACAGTGTGTATGCAGAATTTCTTTTCCCCCATACAAATGGGCTGCAGTGCTGCTAGCCACCAGTAGGGGATGCTGGACCTGGCAGAGCCCAGCTCGCACATAGAAGGCACTGCTGAGAGGAGGAGGAGGAGGGAGCTAGAGGGTTCCTGGTAGCTGCAGTTCCCAGCATGCCTTGAGGGAAGGAGAGGGCAATGCACAGGAAACTCCATGCAAGTCTGGGACTGAGCATCAGGCTGTACGGAAGGGGCTGTGGGTATCTGGTCAGGAGGGACCCGCAGCTAGGGTCTGGGGGAGGTAGGGGTTTTGGGTGTATTGGCTAAGGGGGCCCCCGCAGCTGGGCCTGGGGGGGCAGGGTTGTGGGTGCCTGGCCCTCTAGCTTGGCTCTGGGGGGGGGGGGGGCGGGGGAGGAGAGCAGAGAAACAGGAACTGGGTTGTCATAGGGGTTTTTTTTAACTCTCTATTCCTGGGGGAATTTTGTGTGTGTCTGTATTGTTACAGACACACTTGCTGACAGGTATTTTGAAATAAATTACCAAAATAACTGAAACTAGCATGATTACATAGCATTATTTTGACAAACAAATTGAAGAATTTTGCAGAATTTCAAAATATTGTGCACAGAATTTTTAATTTTTTGGCGCAGAATGACCCCAGGAGTAAAGCTAACCAGTATCAAGTTTTGTACACACCGATACAAATTCAGACGTAGTTTCAGAATTCTCAAACAAATAATTGAACACTAATGAGATTGTATACATCAAAAGTCCTGTCTGAACTATTAAATTAGTAACTGAAATAATCAATTTAAAGATAAACCACTAGATCAAAAAACACTACATTAGCCAATTGGTATATTATAGCAATCTTTAAAAAAAACAGGTGTGGTACTCCATTTATTCTTTGCTTGCCCAATGCTAAGACAATTTGGATAACACAACTCAAGGGACAAAAGCGCACACATTCTCACTATGAAAATCAACGACAGATGCTGACAGGAGATGAGTATCAGGTTAAAAAAAGCTATGCCACATGTTGGTGACAGTAATAGTAACATATTATGTTTCCCGATTTAATTATAGCAATTTGTTTCATTATATTAAGAGTGTTCTGAGTGACCATGAAGTTAATAGTTGCTATTCCACGCACCTGCTGTGGAAACACGGACATTTTATAATTTTCTCAGATTAACTAGCATTATCCGGACTGGTTAAGTTTTTTGGGGAAACACCACCTATCAATCAATTTCAATAAATTATTCATGTCTAAACTATTATTATATTTATATATTAACTTGGGTCAGAAGATTATCTTCCCTAATTTGGCAGCTAGAGTATGCCTCACCAAATCTACAACAAAATTAATGGGCTTGCTAAAAGAGACTGAATTTGTTATTTGCTTAAAGGGACAGCTGAGTAAGGCTTTTGACCTCCCAAAAGAACAAATTTCGTACTTGCCTGAAACAATTTAAAAAACTTTATAACTTTGTTATTTTACTAATAGTAAATTGTATTTCTACAAACAACACAAGAGATATTAAGTCCTCATTGGAGGAATGAGCTGATGGCATGTGCGCTATTTATAAGTGCCCACTGTCCAAGTGCAAAATAGTGCAAATTTCTGTAAACTTAATGGCAGATGATGAAGAAACCTCTGGGGTTCAGTCACAGGAAATGCGGTTGTGACAGGTTTCCAAAAGAGCCCATTACCTCTACTCTGTCTGGAAATGGTTTATGGCCTTTGTCACATGAAGTGAAACCAGTCCTTAAATTAGGAGGACACTGCAAGACCCTTGCAATAATCAATGATGTGACCAATGTATAGCAAGCATTACCTCTGGCTATAATATCTGTTGGTTCAGCATCTCTTCTGGGGCTCTCCATATTCCACCATTTGGCTGCAAAGCTACCTCCATAGTGGACTGGTCTCTGCTGTAGGCCAGCCTATTTTTCAGCTCTACAAGGGCAGTTGTCCTTGGTCCAGCTCCCTATCTGCGACCAGCCCTGTGATTCTGTAATCTGGCCTTCCCTCCATAGCCAACTCCAAATCTGACAATTCCAGAAGACTGCTCCCTCTCTCACATGCCCACATATTGTGACTCTATGATGGTTTTCTTTTTGCCTGGTCCCCCAGAACAATTGGGTTGTCACCAATAATGTATTACTTACTCTACTGCATTTCTAATAAAAATCTCTCATCCTAATTTATTTAAATTCCCATTTTTCTAACAGTTTAACATCTCCAGCTTTGTAATTTCACAACTCAAACTTTCAACTTTTTTTCTCTAATTCTGTTTATACTGCAAAATGCCCCTCCTCAAAACGTCAACATTTGTGATACCATACACATAACTTCTAAAAGGGGCTGAATTACAAATCCTTTGTTCCATAGTCTTAAGCACTGCAGTCCCTGTTCCAGGTAAGTTCTATGCCATTACACAAAAAGAAAAGGAGTACTTGTGGTACCTTAGAGACTAAGTAATTTATTAGAGCATAAGCTTTCGTGAGCTACAGCTCACTTCATCGGATGCATACAGTAGAAAATATAGTGGGGAGATTTTATATACACAGAGAATATGAAACAATGGGTGTACCATGCAGACTGTAACAAGAGTGATCAGGAAAGGTGAGCTATTACCAGCAGGAGAGCGGGGGGGAGGAGGAGGAATCTTTTGTAGTGATAATCAAGGTGGGCCATTTCCAGCAGTTGACAAGGACAATAGGAGGGGAAATAAACAAGGGGAAATAATTTTACTTTGTGTAATGACACATCCACTCCCAGTCTTTGTTCAAGCCTAAGTTAATTGTATGCAGTTGGCAAATTAATTCCAATTCAGCAGTCTCTCATTGGAGTCTGTTTTTGAAGTTTTTTTGTTGAAGAATTGCAACTTTTAGGTCTGTAATCGAGTGACCAAAGAGATTGAAGTGTTCTCCGACTGGTTTTTGAACGTTATAATTCTTGACGTCTGATTTGTGTCCATTTATTCTTTTACGTAGAGACTGTCCAGTCTGGCCAATGTACATGGCAGAGGGGCATTGCTGGCACATACCACATTGGTAGATGCGCAGGTGAACGAGCCTCTGATATTGTGGCTGATGTGACGAGGCCCTATGATGGTGTCCCCTGAATAGATATGTGGATGCAGTTGGCAACGGGCTTTGTTGCAAGGATAGGTTCCTGGATTAGTGTTTTTGTTGTGTGGTTGCTGGTGAGTATTTGCTTCAGGTTGGGGGGCTGTCTGTAAGCAAGGACTGGCCTGTCTCCCAAGATCTATGAGAGTGATGGGTCATCCTTCAGGATAGGTTGTAGATCCTTGATGATGCACTGGAGAAGTTTTAGTTGGGGGCTGAAGGTGATGGCTAGTGGCGTTCTGTTATTTTCTTTGTTGGGCCTGTCCGGTAGTAGGTGACTTCTGGGTACTCTTCTGGCTCTGTCAATCTGTTTCTTCACTTTAGCAGGTGGGTACTGTAGTTGAAAGAACGCCTGATAGAGATCTTGTAGGTGTTTGTCTCTGTCCAAGGGGTTGGAGCAAATGCGGTTGTATCGTAGAGCTTGGCTGTAGACAATGGATCGTGTGGTGTGGTCTGGATGAAAGCTGGAGGCACGTAGGTAAGTACAGCGGTCAGTAGGTTTCCGGTATAGGGTTGTATTTATGTGACCGTCGCTTATTAGCACCGTAGTGTCCAGGAAGTGGATCTCTTGTGTGGATTGGTCCAGGCTGAGGTTGATGGTGGGATGCAAATTGCTGAAATTATGGTGGAATTCCTCAAGGGCTTCTTTTCCATGGGTCCAGATGATGAAGATGTCATCAATGTAGCGCAAGTAGAATAGGGGCATTAGGGGACGAGAGCGGAGGAAGCGTTGTTCTAAGTCAGCCATAAAAATGTTGGCATACTGTGGGGCCATGTCGGTACCCATAGCAGTGCCGCTGATTTGAAGGTGTACACTGTCCCCAAATGTGAATGGGGTTATGGGTGAGGACAAAGTCACAAAGTTCAGCCACCAGGTTTGCCGTGACATTATTGGGGATACTGTTCCTGACGGCTCACCTTTCCTGATCACTCTTGTTACAGTGTGTATGGTAACACCCATAGTTTCATGTTCTCTGTGTATATAAAATCTCCCCACTGTATTTTCCACTGTATGCATCTGATAAAGTGAGCTGTAGCTCACGAAAGCTTATGCTCTAATAAATTTGTTAGTCTCTAATAAATTTGTAAGTCCTCCTTTTCTTTTTACGGATACAGACTAACACAGCTGCTACTCTGTAACCTGCTATTACACAGTATCTTTAGAGCTATGAACATTGATTGAAAATGCAAAAACTTCTGAATAAGTGGTTCAAAGTGCAAAGATAGGGGAAATTCTGAAATAGTGAGCAATGAAAACCAACCCAGAAACTCAAATTGAGGATGCAAAGCATGAGGACTGGGCTTAATGGAAGCTACATATACCAGTAAATGTAATTTTCAAAATATATTGCATCTGCAGAGCCATTCTTTAAGAGTTACATGCTTTGCTTCATAAGCCACAGAACCATCACCAAGCAGTAAAATTTTTGCACGTCTCATCCACTCTTTAAGCATTCTGGAACAGACGGTGAAAGACCCCACACTCTCTAATTGCCTATAAATTCCCCTCCACATCAAAGGCAATAATCTTCTGTTGCTCTCTACTTGTTGATCAGCAACAAGTTTCAGGAGGAAGACTGAGTACTCCTAAACAAATGAAGTATTACTTCCCCCGAACTGTCCACATATTTAGCTTCTGAATTGAGAGAACAGAGCTACATAAAAGTCTGAATTGACCACGAAGCAATAGCTGTGCATATTTCAGTGACTGGTATAATATATAGGCAAGCAGCAGTGGCTGCCCTTCCTTTAGTGGAATGGAATCTAAGTCCTCTTGGACAATGCTAACTGAGCTACACCAGGTAACTTCTGAACTGAAATGGCCTAGCCTTTCAACTTCTTGCCAAACACCAAAAAAACTAGGTAGATCCACACTGCAAACTTCTTAGTGTAGAGAATATATAAAGCTAGCCCCCTAACAGGGGTAAAATAGCATTGTAGACCATGAGGGACTGATTAGACACACCTGACGCCTGTGCGTATGTACCCAGATATATAACCTACATGGCTCTATAGTTGCCCAAGCAGTGCCTCCCCATCTACACTGCTCTTTTTAGCAGTGTAGCAACCTGCTGTCTCCCCCCTACTGGAGCCTTCTCTGGCAGCAGAGAAAGACTCCAGCAGTGGGGAAAGGCTCTGCCAGCTCTCTGCTGCCCGAGTCTTTCCCCACTGCCTTCCCCTTGGCAGAGCCTTTCACTGATATGTGTAGCTACACACTACAATGTGGACACACTGTGGTACTGTGATTTTGCACTGTGGCATGTAGCTACACATACCCTATGTGCTGCCACAATTGATGCAGTATAGATATAGCCTTAGATTTACAAAGAGATTTTGTCCCTTTCAAGTAATAGAGAGTGCTTCTGACATCCAGTGTATTTACCCTAAATTGTGAAAACAAGATCAACATCCAAATGACTCCATCTGGCAAAAAGTGAGGCTGCTACTGAATTTCTGGGGGACCTTTCGTCATGGTCTGACCCCCCTGACTCAGGTTATTGCCTAGGGTGGTGCTCTTATGTGCCAGATATGATGTCAGTGGAGTTGAATTGTACAAGACACTATTACATACATCATTCCCACAACCAGGAAATGAACTCAAGCTTTCTTTTGGCAGCCAGAAACTAAATTGCCAAAGATGAATCCATTTCAATGAAGGGCAAAATGATATATTTGAACTTATTCTGGAAAAGATCTGATGGGAGGAAAAACACTAAACGTAACATTAACATTTTGGTACATCTCAACTGAATCCAACTACAATGTTTAGAAGGAAGGAATTACCTAGAGATTTTTGTGCGTCAAACAATACTGTAATCATTAGCAGCCCAGCAAACTACATAAACAACTGGATATTATATTAACATTTTAAGAATGCTGCTTTCAGGTCACTACCATTTCCAAATGCATAGTGTCTCTGGCATTCGCTATGTTTGTATAAGAATGGATTGCAATGACTTCCTCGAATTCTCTTTTCATCTACAGTGTTAAATAAATAACCCTCAGTGTGTAACAAAACAACAGGCTTGTGATTCTCCCTTCCCTCCACCCCACAAATTCATCTGAGATTTTGATGTCACACATGAAGAGCGCTTTTGCAATTAAATACACAAGTCTTCAAACATCACAATATTACCTCTCCTTTATATTCCACTGCTTTAATTCCTGCATACACTGGCACAAAACTGCTGGCTAGGAGGACCTAGAGAGGAGAAAAGAAAAAAAGAAGGTGACAGTAAAATAAATCTGAAAATATTAATATTTTCTTTTGTGTGTCATGTAATCTTCACCAGTCAATACAATAATCATTATTCAACATGTTAGCTCCATCTACTTCACAATAACCATTTAAAAACATATTCATCTCAATATCTGCTATGTACTATATGTCAAAATGCTATTAAGAGTTCAGGACTGTTATTTTAGTTAAATTATAAATAGGAATCTCAGAGAGTGCACATGGTACAAATCAATTATTCTGTCATTGATTTAATAAAGTTTGGTTCAGAAGAATCCGAACTAATTTTAGATTTACTTTATTCTTTCATGTTGCTACAAAATCACAATTTCTTAATATAGATTAAAATCTAAATATATGTAGATTGTAAACAAACTGTGTGTTATTCATAGTTCAATACTGAAAAGTGAAGCTAGAACTGGCGAAAGACAGGCATTTAGCAGATACTTTGACATAGTGTTTTTCTTTCTAATTCATCAGTTTTTCTGAATAATAATGCAGTATGATAGGAATTGCACTTTTATAAATGATAGCCTTAAAATTCACATATGTATACCATCCACCTAAATTAATACTTTTTCTTTTATTTTTGTGTGCTGAGCTATCGCAGAATGACAGCAACAAGTTACTAGTTGAACTTACATTAGGTTAGACTAAATAACCGACTGGATTTTGGCTCTCGTAAAAGTGATACACAAAGATTACACTCACATGTGCAAAAACAACTCAATTTAAAAAAGCAGCCAAAAAATAATATCTTTGTATTCTATTACAATTCTTTGTAATTATTGATGTTTTACTATTACAACCCTTTTCACTGCTAACAGTAGTTACAATCATCAGGGCCAAGTGTTATGGACACATCAAGCATATAACTAGTCAAAAATTACAAGAGCAGAGTTGTTCCCAAGGCAACAGTTTGTAGTTTTCTAGCTTAGAGAAATACACTGCAATGCAGCACACGCCTAGAGAACTAACTCTACACTTTTCAGCACTGGCTACTGTAATAGAGAACACGCATTCACTGCAGATTGCTGTTCACCTATCTTCTCTCCAGAACAAAGGACATAACTATTCTACTCTAGTCTACATAGGTTTTTATACTGCACTCATCACCATAGTATCTGAGTTCCTTCCGGCAGTGCACTAAGCAACGTGACTACACATTTGTCATGTTCAGGTCTCTCATCCACTCTCCAGGGGGAGAAACAAGTGCAGTGGAGTGTCTTGTTTTGGTAAGGTTTTTTTTTTCTTTAATATACCTGTTGCTAGATGTTTATATTAGAGAAGGAAAAATAAAAGAAATATGCCTTGCACTTGGAGCAGAAGTGGAGAAGTCTGTGATGTTCCTTAGTCTTCATTTCACAGTCCTGGACTACCACCCAAGAAAGTTCTACTTCCTGCACAGACAAGCTACACTCTTACTGTCAAGAGTTACATTGTGTCATAGGAATGGAGTTGTTGACATGATCTTTTTGATATCCCAGGCCCATACCATGGAGTGCTTTGAGGAGAAGGACTGAAACCCTGAACTTGACACAAAGTTCTATGAGAAACCAGTGGAGGATAGGTCTGATATGCTCACTGTAGGCTGTGCTGCTGAGAAGATGTCCTGTACCGTTTTGTACTAGTTGGGGTTTCCTAAGCGCTGAAGACTTCACACCCAACTATACTGCATTGTTGTAGTCCAGCTGAGAGATGAGGAAGACATCAATAACTGAGGCAAGCTGTTTGCCCACCAGGATAATGCAGTCTCCTAGCCAACCAGAAATGGCAGAAAGCATTACTTGTGGCTTTTGTTATGTGAGAGCTCAGAGTCACTGAGGAATCCAAGAGTACTCCTGGACTACAGACTGAATTGACCAACTGTAGATATGAACCTTCAACCAAAGGAGACTGTAGACTGGAAGCAAACTCATCAAAATACTTTCCTTTGCCCATCTGCACCACCTCTTTCATGCTCAGATTCAGTTTCAGACAGCTGAAGTTCTCTGCTTTCTTCTTCAACAAAAATAGCCCACCAATTTTGAATATTGACAGATTTAGCAAGATATTAAAAACTGGCACTTAAATGATGGCCTTTTAAATTCATACTTTGAGATCTAAACAAGTAGCTGGATTTTAAGTGCTGATTTTAAGTGCTGATCTAAACAAGTAGCTGGATTTTAAGCAGCGCCAATCGAATCCAACAGATGCTCAGAAACACAGGGAAAGAAGGAACCCTACCACACATGCCACTGGTTGGCCCATCCACCCCCTATGGATTTTAAATAAAATATTTTCAAATATTAATTGCCTAAAATACAGAAGATTGTATGCAATATTTTAAGAGGTTTTGGGGAAGAACCCCTTCCCCAGCTACCCCAAGAATCCTCATTCCTATTTGTTTTCAGATCAGCACACATTCACAATCATGACCAAGTCTACATGGTGGCATTTAGAAGAAAATGTTGGAAAGCACCAGAGATGTGCCCCCTCCCAGCTCGACATACTGTACACATGCACATTTTTTTTTGGCAGTGTATAGGCCTGTTTGAACACAAGAACTTCCTTTAGATGTGTCCTTCTCTTCCTCTTATTCTGCCCTGTGACCATGAGATGATACAATGCTACATTGACATCTGACATCAAGACCCATGAAGGCAGTAACCAAATATAGTGAACTCCCTCTACTATCCTGATCTACCTTCAACACTGGTCACCACATGATCTCTTTTTTTTTTAAGTGGGTTTCAGTGAATAAGAGAAAATCGTGAAACAAATATTTAAGAAGACAGCAAAGGGACATACATACGTTTAAGGAATTCTTTTTAGAAAAATTTACAGAAACACAGGGGGCCAAATTCAATAGCACCTTCTTCATCAGGATGGGTTAAGTAAATGTTTTGGGTCAATTTTCTGAGGACCTGTTTAGAGATGAACCCAAGGACCAGCCTGGAAAGAAAGCAGAGCAGGGCCAGGGAATCAATACTCAGCCCAGTAAGAGTCAACCCTGTTGTTTTTATTATTATTGCCATATGGTTAAACCTTTGGTTTGTGAGGGCAGGATTTCCAGGTTAGGACCAGTAACATTATTGCTATGGAGGAAGGATGTTACATGCTATGGTGTTTATACCCTAGGTTGAGGGCATTACGTAAGAGATTTGCATAGCACCCACTCCCACCTGTCTGCCATGGGCTTTCAAAAAGGGATGACGAGAAGAATTTTTTTTTCTAACTTTGCTTTCAATTAAAGCTTCCAAAACCCTTAAAGACTAACAGGCATGACTGCTATATATTTTTGGAATTACAGCTTTTTGTTGTATCTGCAATGCCTATGTAATGCTGCATATGTATGCTTTGAGTAGCAAATTATTGTCCCATATAGCAATAACAATATCTACTTTAAGTACTTTTTCATCCTATTTTCTCCTTGGAAGGCCATGATTCTTCATGCAGCAGGCATTCTTTTGCCGTGCCTCACCCTGGATTTTCTGTTTCCAGGCTGGGGAGGGGGAGCCAGTAGGAATCAACTCTGCCCCCAATAATAGTCTGCATTCTAATCCTAAAGTTTGTTAATTGTGGTCCTTATTTTGTTCCACTCCTGGAAGGCGCTGCATGAAAATTAGGGCTGTCAAATATTTAAAAATTAATTGCAATTAATCACGTGATTAAAAAAATTAATTCCGATTAATCATGGGATTAATCATGCTGTTAAACAGTAACAGAATACCATTTATTTAAATAGTTTTGATGTTTTCTGCATTTTCAAATACATTGATTTCAATTACAACACAGAATACAAAGTGTACAGTGCTCACTTTACATTTATTTTTTATTACAAATATTCACACTGTAAAAAACAATAGAAATAGTATTTTTCAATTCACCTAATACAATAGTGCAATTTCTTTATCATGGAAGTTGAACTTACAAATGTAGAATTATGTACAAAAAAATAACTGCATTATTATAAAAACTTTAAAGCCTACAAATTTACGTAGTCCTACTTCAGCCAATAGCTTAGACAAAAAGTTTAGCTATAATTTGCAGGAAATAATGTTGCTTGCTTCTTGTTTACAATGTCACCTGAAAGTGAGAACAGGCGTTCACATGGCACTGTTGTAGCTGGTGTTGCAAGATATTTACGTGCCAGATATGCTAAACATTCTTATGTTCCTTCATGCTTCAACCACCACTCCAGAGGACATGCGTCTATGCTGATGACGCGTTCTGCTTGATAATGATCCAAAACAGTGCAGACAGACGCATGTTCATTTTCATCATTTGAGTCAGATACCACCAGCAGAAGGTTGATTTTCTTTTTGGGTGGTTCGGTACTGTAGTTTCCCCATCTGAGTGTTGCTCTTTTAAGACTTCTGAAAACATACTCCACACCTCATCCCTCTCAGATTTTGGTCGACACTGCAGATTATTAAACCTTAGGTCGAGTGCTGTAGCTATTTTTAGAAATCTCACATTGGTACCTTCCTTTGCATTTTGTCAAATCTGCTGTGAAAGTGTTCTTAAAACGAATGTGTTCTGGGTCATCATCTGAGACAGCTATAACATGAAATATAGGGCAGAATGCAGGTAAAACAGAGCAGGGATGTACAATTCTCCCCCAAGGAGTTCAGTTACAAATTTAATTAACACATTATTTTTTTGAAGAGCATCATCAGCATGGACATATGTCCTTTGGAATGGTGGCCGAAGCATACAAGGGCATATGAATATTTAGCATATCTGGCATGTAAATACCATGCAACGCCAGCTACAAAAGTACCATGCGAATGCCTGTTCTCAGTTTCAGGTGACATTGTAAACAAAAAGAAGGCAGCATTATCTCCCATAAATGTAAACTGGTTTGTCTTAGTGACTGGTTGAACAAGAAGTAGGACTGAGTGGACTTCTAGATTTTTTTTGTTCCATAACTGCACTCAAAACCAAAACAATGTAAAACTTTAGAGCCTACATCTGTAAGT